CCTTGGGCAAGCCACGTTACTGCTCTCTGCCTCGGTCTCCCAGTCTGTGAAATGGGTATAACAGCACCCCAGAGGATTGCTGCGAGGCATAAGGGAGCCCACGTGGGGCCTGTTAACCCAGTGCCTGGCATGTTGGGGGCTTGTGTGACTCTGGATTGAGGTGACACGTCCTTCCCCGGTTGGGTCCCAGGGCCCCAGCTGGTGGTGGCCGGGAGCATTCCCGGTTCCCTCCTCTTGCCTGTGTCGCCAGCACTGCTGCCGGGATGTGCATTCCCAGGGGCCCCAGAGCAGGTGCCCTCCGCGCCCTGCCCTGCCGTCTCTGCCAGTTGCTCGGTGCCCGTGGCGTCCCGGCCTGCCGGCTGGCGCTGCAGTTGGAAGCGTCTTGCGTGAGGAATTGGCGGTGCCAGCTGCCGCCTCACAGCTGCCGCGGGTGGGGGCGGCCCCTTTTAAAAATAAAAACAAGGCGCAGAAGAACAGCCCGAGAGCACCGTTGGCTTCGTTTAGCCAACGTGGTCAAGGGTTTAGCCGGAACGCTTTTGTGGGGAGAGTCCTGTGGCTGGATTAAGGGACGGGGAAAACAGGACACACTTTGGTCGGGGGAATGTGTCCATCTGGGGACAGAGATCTTGGCCTGGGTCTGGCCTTCCCAGGCAGGCGGTCTCTTTCCTGCAGGCCACCCGTGTGCTGCTCCCGCGTGCCCTTCTCAGGGAAGGGGATCCGTGTTCCTCGGGGTCTGTTTCTAGCTGCTTCAGGCCAGGACGGGGCCGACCATGGGGCCTCCCTGGCCTGTGTCCAGCCCCGTCGCCCCGGGGGCCCCTGTGGGCTCCGAGAGGTGCCCAGCGCCTGCCCCTGCGGCTTCCGGCCTGGCTCCCTGGAACCGAGGGGGAAGAGGTGGAGGCCGGGATGTTTCTGGGCACGTGGGGACGCCACGTTGCGAGTCTCGATCGTGGTGGCGGGTGGAGCCGTGTCCACTCGGAACCTGTGAATGCCACCGTGGCCTTATTTGGACCGAGGGTCTTCGCAGAGGTATTACGTTACGGATCTCAAGCTGAGACCATCCTGGATTAGGGTGGGCCCTAAACCCGACGGCAAGTGTCCTTCTAAGAGGGAGACGCAGAGGGGACGGCCGCGTGGAGACGGAGGCAGAGACTGCGGCGCTGCAGCTGCACACAAGGAACGCCGCGGCCACCGGAAGCCAGAAGGGACAGAGAAGGGCCCTCCTGCAGAGGCTCCGGAGGGCGTGTGGCCCCAGGGACGCCTCGATTTCGGACTTCCGGCCTCCGGAACAGAGAGAGGACCCGTCGCTGCAGTTCCGAGCCACCCAGCGCGCAGTTTGTTATGGCGGCCCCGGGAGACTTGCACGGTGGTGAATTTTACTGTCATCACACTTACGTTTTTAAAGTAACATTTTAAAATTCCAAAATCCTTTCGTCTTGCTCGCTGCTGCATTGCCAGGGCTCAGTGCACACAGTAGGGGCTCGAGAGTTTGTTGAACGACTGGCAGCTCCGGGTCTGCGTCACGACTCTCACCTGCCAGGGGGTGGACGCCGCTTTCCTAGCTCACAGCGGCCTTAACCTCCTGGGCTCAAGCGATCCTCCTGCCTCAGCCTCCGGAGCAGCTAGGACTACAGGTGTGCACGGCCACGCTTGGCTGATTTTTCTATTTTTTGTAGAGACGGGTCTCACTCTTGCTCAGCCTGGTCTCGAACTCCTGATAATTGACTATTTTCAAGTGAACAATTCATTAGTTTTTTTAATACATTCAGAACATGCACCCACCACGTCTGTCTAGAAGAGATTCTAGTCACCCCCAAGGACACCCATGTCTGTCGGGGTCAGTGCACATTCGTGCCTCCCCCACCCCCGCAGCCACCAGTCCGCTTCCTGCCTCTGTGGACGGACCGATTCTGGATGTTCCTCGTGCCTGGAGTCACACAGTGCGTGTTTTTGCGTGTCTGGCTTCGTGCACGTGGTGTCATGTTTTGGAGGTTCATCCGTGTCGTCGCGTGTGTCCTCATTGCCGTACACGGCGGAATCGTATTTCATCGCGTGGACGTACATCAGTACGACCTTTTTACAGGAGAATTTTCAGAGGAGGAAACGGAGGCTGCCCAGGTCGCAGTGCGCTGGCGTCCGGACGGGAGGAAGAGGCCCAAAGAGCCGGATGTTTCCGGTTCACGCTCTCTTCCCCCTGCTCTGTGCTCGTCCTGCCCTCGTCTCTGTGCCTGGCCAGTGGCTGGGAAGCAGTGTGTGTGTGTGTGTGTGTGTGTGTGTGTGCGCGCGTGCGTGCGTGCATGTATGTATGTGTGTGCGCACGTGTGCGTGTGCATGTGCGTGTGCGCGCGCACATATGCGGGGAGGGAGCCAGCAGGGCCCCCTCCAGCTGCGGCTGTGGGTCCAGGCCTGGTCCTCAGAGTCCCCGCACACTCCGGCCCCCGTGTGTGGTTTCTGCTGGTCCTGCGAGAGGCGGCAGGCAGGTGCCTGCCCTGAGATGCCCTGAGAGGCTGGGGCCTTGCCCGCCCCGCCTGGCCTCCGGGTCCCCCTGTCCCCCGTTCCAGATCCTTGGGCTCACCGCCCTGCCTCTGGAAGATGCTTCCCGTGGCTGTTTCTGGTTTCGGATGATTCATGGTCTTCATAAAGTCACTCAGCAAACAGTTTGCTGCGCGGCCTCCGGTGGGGAAGACGCAGGACGCAGAAACACGGGCCATGCAGTGGCGCAGCCCAGGGCATGCCGCAGCTGCAGTGGAAGTCTGGGCGAGTCGCTCCGATCCCGGGGCAGCCTCTGGCGAAGGTCGGGATGCAGGTCTGTGTCCAAAACAAACACAGAAGAACAAAGGGCGGCCGAGCATTCTGAAGCTCTCTGGGCCCTGCTTCCTGGCGGTGTTTTGATGGGGCCGGTTTGACCCGTTCCTGGGTTTCTTGGTCTCCTGGCGGCCACGGGGAGAGTCTGGGTGGGAAGATGGTGCCTGGATCTTTGGGGTAAAAATAGGGCTTTTGGCGGCCCCTGCCTTTGCGTGCCTTGATTTCCCTCCATGTCATAGAAGGCTCCAGAATGGCAAAATCCCCGCCTTGGCTCTGGGGTCAGGTCTGTGGGAGCCTTTGAGTGTTTCCTCGAGGCTGGAGGGTGGTCTGATCAAAGTAAACGCTTCTGGCTTCCGTGGGGGGTCTCCTAGGGGCCACCCTGGGCCCCCAACTAGTCCAGTGGCCGGGACCCTTTGCCACACGCAAATCTGATCTTAGTCATAAAACCCCTTCGTGGCTGACTTGCCGTGCAGCGTGGCGGACGCAAGCCAGGCATGCCTGGTTCAAATCCTGGCTCGACCACTTTCTAGCTGTGTGACCTTGGGTGAGCCACTGAACCTCTCTGGGCTTGCTGCCTTCTCTGTGTATTGGGGCTCAGAAGCGTGCCTCTCTTTTGCCGTGGTGTCCTGAGGACAGCTGGTTAACTGGGGGATGTACTTGCGGCGCCGGGCGCACAGCGGGAGCTGCTGGGCTCAGTGGGTGTTGCTGTCGTTGCTGTCACCATCCTTACTCTCAAGATGCTCCCGGGAGTGATGATGACAGTGTCACGTTGGAGTTGAGGGACTTGCCCAGAGTCCTGACGGCCTGCCTGCTTTCTCCTCCACTCCCCTCACCTTCCCGACCTCACGTCCCACCTCTGCCCTCCGCACCCCTGCACCCCGACCACGCCAGCCTTCCCCCTGCTGTGACGACACGCCACGCTCGTCCGGCCTCCAGACAGACCTGCGCTGGCCGTGCCTCCTGCCCGGGGTGCCGTCCCCGCATCTGCACCCCAGGGGACTCCTTGTCACTGTGCAGCTGCCACCCGGGGGGCAGACGCCGCGGGGTCCCGGGAGCTGCGGCAGGAGGGGAGCGAGCTGGAGACCAGGGGGAGGCTCCTCTGCGTCCTGGTGGCTCTGGCAGCTTCCCTGACCCTTGTCACCGCTTCCCAGAGCACTTGGAGGAGCAGAGCCCGGCCTGCCCCTGCCACGGATGGGGGTTGGCACCCAGAGCAGCTCAGACTTGTCTCTGAGTCACACAGCTAATTGCAGCCAAGGTTCAGGCTCCTGGCTGGGCACCAGCGAGCCATGGTGTTTGGCGTGAGTGTGTCATGTGTGTGTGTGCGTGTGTGTGGCTGTGTCTTTCTATGTCTTTTTTCCGAGGCCTGTCACCGAGATGACCCTAGTTCAGAAGACCGACGTGAGGGGTCATGCTTTCTTCTCCTGCGAGTAAGGGAAGGACAGAAACACTTTACAGGCAGAGCCTGGCCCCGGCCGTGGGACCCCGCAGGGCCGGTTCCGAGCCAGGCTGGGCCCGCGGCCGGCGGGCTGGGAGGAAACGGGTTAACGCGGGAGAAGCAGAGGCTGCGCCCGCTCTCGCTGCCAGCGCGAGGAGTGAAGAGGTTTTTCGAGCCGAGCTATAAAAAGGCCTCACAGTGTTTCAGCTCCTGTCGGCTGGAAGCCCGCCAGGGTTACCATGGCGATGAGGAATTATTACTTACTGCCAAGGCTGGGAGAAAAAGCTCGTACTTTTGGCTTCCAAACAAGAGGAGTGGACTTATGTAATTCTCTGTGTTTATAGGCCCGGAGTGGCAGAGGCAAGAACCGAGTGCCGGAGGCCCCACGTCCCGTTCTCAGCCCAGCCGTGGGGTCGCGAGGCCCCGCGGGTTGTCCCTGGTGGGCCGTGGCCTGCCCCGGCTTCGGGGGGCATCGGGCCGGAAGCCTGGGGGGCCGGGCCTGGGCGCTGGGCCACCGGCCCCCAGCAGGGCCTCCCCAGCGGGGCGGGAGCCGTAGTCTCGCGGGAAGGCGAGCAGGCCGCTCGGGCCACCCCTCTCCGGGTGTCGCTCTGGAGGAAGGATGGGTTTGATGCTGGACGCAGTGCGTGTCCCGGGCGCCAGCGGCGCCGTCCGTGCGTGTGGACCGCACTGACCCACTGGCTGGCACTTTCTCCTTTTCTTTCTCTTTTTCTTTTTTTTTCCTTGCGGGAGAGTTTCTCCAAGTTGGGTTTGGAGCTGTCGGGAGCGAGGCTGGTCATGTGCTCGGGTAAGAGACGTCGCGGGCTCGGCGTGGGCAGGGAGGTGCGGCGTGGCCAGTGCCCCCGGCGAGGAGGCAGGCGGAGGTGGGCGCGGGCTGGGGCGGGGGCGCGCAGGGTCTGTGCCCGGGGCGCCGTGTGGGGGCCGAGGGACTCGTCTGGAAGGAGCCCCAGTTCTGCCGCTGGGCGCTGTGGGCCTGGACCAGGGCGGGGGGCCGGGCGGACACTGGTCAGCCAGCGGGGGCGGCCGGACGTCCCCCTGGCAGGGTGGACGTGTGTCGGGCCCCACGCTCTGTGGGACAATGGGCCGGGACATCTTATCGGACAAAGTTGCTGAAGTCACAGAAAAGAGTGCTCCGGGGCGCGGGCGGGCCGGGCGGAGGGGAGGCTCCCCGGTGGGCCCGCGTGGGAGGGGCCCGGGTGGGCATTGTGCTGCTTTTCCGGAGCCCGGGCACGCTCCCCAGCGCCCCTGGGGGGGGCGCGGGGGCCCCGGGGTTCTGGGCGCTTGTTCCAGAATTGACGGCGGGAGGGCGTGGGATGGGCCCCGGCTTCCGGGGTGGGCTCGGGCAGGGGAGAGCCAGGTGCAGGCAGCGCTGCGGCCCAGCCCGGCGCCCGCTCCCCACCGAGGTGGCGGTTGGCTCGGTGCCCGTGTCTGGTTTGAAATCAGCGCCACCGGCTCAGGCTTGCCCAGGGAGTTGGCAGCGAGGCGCCGGGATAAACACTGGAAAGTTGGAAGGGCTTCCCGAGCTCACAAGGAGCCTTCAGTTTCAAGCCGAGGGGATGAGGGAGCGATTTGTCCTGAGGTCTGGGTGCGCCGGGGCCGTCGGGAGGCAGCAGGGACGTCCCGTGGGGACCTCCAGGCCCAGGCCAGGGCGGGGAGGGGGCCGGGCTTGCAGATGGTGTCTCTCCCCCGGCCGCAGACGCGGGTTTGAGTCCTGGCTGTATCCCCTCCTGGGCTGTGTGGCCTCGGGCATGTCGCCTCACCTCTCTGGGCCTCAGTTTCTTTAGCTGTAAAATGGGGTGACGATGGGGGCCACACAGGCGTGGGCGTGACGGAAGAAGGAGCCGTGGCTGCGTGGCAGACTCTGGGGAGGACTGCCTGGGCGTCCATCCCGGTTAGGCGCATCGTGGCCATGTGACCCTGGGCAAGTCACTCCGTGTCTCTGCACCTCGGTTTTCCCACCTGGCAAATGGACGCTCCGTCTGTCCTCCACCCCGAGCAAGTTCTGTGGCTTAAAGGAGCCAACGGAGCCGGGCTTCGGGCGCACGGTCGCCACGTGGTTGGCATCAGCTGGTGCCGTGGTGGCTTTAACAGTGATGATGACAGCATCCCACCTGCACGGGGGTGGGGCACCCGGGATTCCGGCATCGCAGTTTATGAAGCTGTCGTGGGCAGGCGACATTCCAGCATGGCCCCTCAGAGGATGACGCGAACTTGGGCAGGTCCTAGAACCTCACGGAGCCTCAGTTTCCTCATTGTTTACAGCCCGCAGGTGTCCCAGGGGATCCCAAGAGAAGCCCGGAGGGGCCGCCCGCGGAGCGGGCGTGTGTGTGGGGCGCGGCCAGTGCAAACCACGGGGCTGGCTTTGAGTTCGAGTTGCATCCTGGTCTCCCGCAGGGAGCTCTCCGGTTGCGTGGAGCCCCGGGCCCAGATAACAGGAGGTGGGCGGCAGTGGGCACTCCCTGGGGTTTGGGCCGGGCCGGAGTCTCCAGGGCGTTGGCCATGCGATCCTGTTCTGCCCTGTCTCCCCTCGGCCTGCGCCCCTCTGGGCCAGGTGCCCCCAGTGCACCCGGTGTGGCCTGGGGGCCGGGGCGGGAGGGCCGCTCTCCTGCTAGAGGTGGCGGTGGTTCCGTGTTTGTAAGTGACACCGGATGCCGGGCCGGTAGCTGGCGCAGGGACTCCCGTCTTGGGCCAGCAGTTGCCAGTGGGGAGTTCCCAGGGCGACCAGGCCGCCCACGCCAGCTGCCCGCCCGCCAGTTGTCCTCGGCCTCTCCTGGGATCTCGGGGAAGGCCTGAGAAGTGGGGGCCCCGTGCCTGTCACGTTGCCGCCCCTGAGGCCGTGGTGTCCGCTTGGGCCGGTCACAGAGCTGTGTGGTGGCCGCTCCCGACCTGCACCGAGGGCCCCGGCTCACTGAGAAGGACAGTCGTGTGGTGGCTCAGAACAGAGGTCAGCACAAGGGACCTTTGTGACGGGACAGTTCCATGGCGACGGGGGGAGGTCCCCGGAACCCGCACGTGGCACTAAACGCGCGCTCACACGCACGCACTTGTGAACGCACCGAAGCTGTTGAGATCTGAGCGGGGCAGTCGCGTCAGCGTCACCTTCCTGGTTGTGACACTGCTGTTCAACCACAGGTGTCTGATGACGTGACCACCGGGGGAGGCTGGGGGAGGGGTGCACGGATCTTGGGATCTCGCTGCAGTATTTCTTACATCGGTGTACGGATCTATAAGGATCTCAAAATAAACACTTAGAAAGCAAAAGAGAGGCGTGGGGGCCATGCTGTCGGGATCTGCTCCTGCGTAGCTGTGCGGATTTGAGAACTGACTCAGCTCCTCCAGCCTCAGTTTCCTCGTCTGTAAAATGGGGGTAACATGTATGACCCTGCGGGGCTCACGTGAGGGTTGAACGAGTTGCTACGCGCTGCGCACTTGCCGCGGGTTTGCTGTTGCTGTCGTTGTCGTCACTGTCGTGATGCTGTGGCTCGCCCGAAACCATCTCATTTCATATTCCCGTCAGCCCTAGGACGGGAGGGTGACCCACTTTTCAGATGAGGAAGCCGAGGCCCGAGTGGTCAGGTGACCCACCCGAAGGCACGCGGTTTGCGGGGCTGGCGCTGGGCTGGGCGCCCAGGCCGGTGCTTGACGGCCGTCGAGGTGAGCGGCCCGGGAAGGTCACTCGCCCTCTCGGAGCCACAGCCCCTCCCTCCTGCCCCACCTGCAGGCTGGGCTAGGGGGTCGCCGCAGGGGCCGGGCTCACGACCTCTGGGAGCCAGGCAGCCTCGACCTCTGGACTCCTCCCTTCCCGTGCAAATGCTCGAGCCAGAGCAGGGGCTCAAATAACCGAGCTCGGGCCTCGGATGTCCCGGGGAGGGGTCAGGCGGGGCTCGCCTCATGCCCCGGGATCACAGAGGCTCCAGAGCGGTCCCCGCGTCTCGTGACTCTGCATCTTGTGACAGCCGAACCCACTTCCTCTCTGAGCACTTTTCCTCCCCGCGCGAGCTCTGAGCGGCGTTTGCCCCTCGCTGTCCTCCCTGTCCTGGTCTCCCCGAGATCCCTCCCTGCCTCAGTCAGTGGTGGGAAGGCCTCGGGGGTGCACCCGGCTCACCCGAGCGTGAGCTGGTTAGCCCCTCTCGCGGAAGCATGAGGAGTGTGTTCGTGTTTAGTCGAAGCTGATGCTCAAGCGGAAACTTCTCCAAGGCTCCGCCAAGAGGGCCTGCAGGTGGTCGTCCCCCTTAAAGCCGGCTGGTAGCTGAGCTCGGGCCTCGGGCATCCCGGGAGGTCCAGGAGGGGCTTGCTTATGCCTTGGGATTACAGAAGGTTCCAGAGCATCCCAGGCTGAGGGACAAGCGGGTGCCTGCAGGGCCTGGCGGTCCCGCTGCTGTGCCGCTGCACAGCGTTTCCACGATCACATCAGCGCGGCAGAGGCTCGTGCCTGGCGGGACAACAGTCATAGCTCAGCGTCTCAGGTCTGGGCTTTGCTGGGCAGAGCCTGGAGGGGAAGTGGGGGTTGGGCGGCCTTCAGCTTCGTGAGCTTCTTTGCTGTTTCTCGGAGACCCCAGTCACAGTCGTGCCTCAGGACCTTTGCACTTGCTGTCCCCGCTTCCTGGAACATGCTTTTCCGAGATCTTCGTGCTCGCCTGATTTAAGCTTCTGTGTAAGTGGCCCCTCCTGAGAGAGGCCTGATCTTGGTGTCGTGACTCCCTGGCTCCCTGCTTCAGTGTTCCTCGTAACACCGTCACTCCCTGTTATGTGTCTGTCATGCCTGTTTCCTCCGCCTCACGACTGATTTTAGTCCGTTCGGACTGGGTGGCTCATAAGCAACAGAAATTGTGACAGTTCTGGAGGCTACAAGTCTAAAGTCAAGGCTCCAGAAAATTCCATGTCTGCTGGGGCCCGTTGCCTGGTTCCTGGACAGTGTGGTCTCCCCGAGGCCTCCCCGGAAGGGGCGAGGCAGCCCCTCCTTTGTGAGGACGCTAGTCCCATTCCCCAGGGCTCCACCCTGTGACCTCATCACCTCCGAAAGCCCCACCCCCTCATACATCGCGTGGCGATTAGGTTTCCACGTGCGAACTTGGGGGGGACACGACCGTTCAGACCGCAGCACCCCTCCACCCAAGACTTTGTCAAACGGTCACTGCTGTGGCCCCGGCACTGGGCATACAGCAGGCACTCAGGAAACAGTTGTGCCTGACTCAGGGTGCCCCGAGGGCTGTGGGCCTGGACCTGTCCCCTCCCCGTGACCGGGGCCATCTTGGAACAGAGATGCTTCAACTGACAATGGTCCCTCCAGGAGCGTCCTGCCCTCGCAGGCTCTGGCCGGGTGTCACCTTGACCTCGCCTCCCCCCTCCCTCGAAGTTTTGCAGCTTGTAGGGTCGAGGTTACATTCTGGGGGTGCCCTGGAAAACCCAGAAAAGTTCTTGTGCTTTTGCTCAGAGTGCCCGGTAGGAGCCCACCAAGCCTCCCTGGAGGGTCTGCTCCTTCCAGACGAGGTCAGGGAGGTGGGGGTCCTGAGCGGGGAAAGCGGGGGGCTGTGGGCACTGGGGTGTGGGGGAGGGGTGCCGAGGCAATTCAGGCGTTCCGCACACCTTAGTTCACTGTGTCCTTGCAACAGCCCTGTGATGTGGGTGCAGAATCGCCCTCTCTGGGGAGCACAGAGAGGGTCAGCAGCTTGTCCAAAGACACACAGTGGCAGGCACACGATATCGCTGGGTAAACGGCATTTCCTTTGCAGTCGTTTCTGTGCACAGGGTGATGCTTAGCTAGTTCGTCCCCAGAAGGCCCTTTGG